CTGGTTATTTTTTTAATCCAGCTTTCTTTTATGTTGATAGGGATATACACACAAATAGGTGTAGTGCTCGAAATTTACAAAGTTGGCCATTTAGATCTTCAACCTAACCACTAACTCGCCCGGCTGTGAGCGAAATTGGAGTACTTCTAATATGGTAATTTATATTAGTAATTTAGTACTTTAGTGGTTATTACTTTTAGACTCTTACTTTACTTATCGCAGTTGTAAATTTGTAGTTTTGTAGTATTATTGTTATATATTTAATGATTTATATTAATTAGTTTCATTTGATTTTGTTAGATTCATACAAAGAAAAGGAATAGGCGTGAATCAAAGAGGCTCAATGACCTAGTCTATATCAAGTATAATCGATACTTGAAGGATAGGTTTGCTAAGAGAGATAATAGACACGCCCTCAGATCAAAAAATATGGATAATGCTATGGAATGGTTGGTTGATGATGATCAGGTCGAGGGGTATAAAGAATTGACATGGGATATGGTCATGGAGGCCTCAAGGACATCAGCCGACTCTCCTAGGGCCACTAGATCTTCTTCCTAGAGGACGAGGGTGAAGGAAGAGGAGGACGCAGAGGCAAATTCATAAGAGATAGAGGAGGACGAGTATTATGTCGAGGACGGAGATGATTTCGATGATGATGGCTTCGACTCCGATGCATGTGATGCAGATGCAGTTGAACTACTTTATCTGTTGATGAGTGATGGATGAAAAATGATGATTGAAAATTCTTTCAAGTCTTCAAGTTTATATACTCTTTCATTTTCGTTTTCCTCCTCTTGGTTGTGTATTGTGGATTTGTGGTTCGCTAGTTTGTAACTTTGGTTTGTAAATTTTATTGTTTACTTTTAACTATGTGGGGAGTGCAGACTATAGATAATTGGATCGGACTTATGGAGTATGGAGGAGTGTATGTGCTATGTGGACTTGTGTACTATAAACATTTGATGTTCCTTAAATCCCTAACTCTTGTCTTATGTGTTATACAATTATACGGTTAGACTACAGACATTTCTCTTTCTTCTAGGCTGCCTAGGTTCTGGGCATCTGGGTAGCATTTTATTAAACACGAACAGGGAAGATCCAGAAAATAGATAAAGATTAAAAAACCAGAGGTAAAAGGAGCACTTGCTACTTTAGGATTTTTCAACAAAAGTCCATAACATGATCCATCATTGCGCTTGAGTACATCCTTTTTATAAGAAACCCCTAAACAAGACGTAATCATAGCCATCCATCAATTCTAATCACGACCCTTCATTATAAAAGGCTTCGAGTGAATAAAAATCATAAAAGGTCTAGAAATTACTACTTATGCCCCTAAGTTAATAAAAAGACTCAAAAAACAAATAAAAGGCATAAAAGAATAGACTCAATGATTAATTTTCGCTTTTGTGGTTCCTCCTATAAACTTAAGCTTATCTCTCCGATCTAGATACTCAAGAGCAGCATTCTGGGTTGCATAAAACTCCCTTCCTCAAAAGAATTTTCCCTCAAAATTGGCGGCTCGTCATTTGAGGTATCACCACGATATGGAGTGAGATGTTTGACATTAAAAACATCAGAAGTGCGAATATGACTGGGAAACTTCACTTTGTAGGCATTGTAATTAATCTTCTGCACCACTTCACACAGTCCGATCATGCATCGGCTCAACTTATGATATTCCCAAGCTAGAAATTTATCCCAAGTCATGACTGCTCACTTAAAATCTCCAACATCAAAATTTCTATGTTGTCAATGCTTGTTAGCGGCTGCCTTATATTTGGCATCATACTCCATGAGTACGTGAATGCACAATTCCAATGAATTGTCTTCAACTGAGAGCACAATCACCTGTTTTTGACTAAATAAAACATCAAACATATCACAACGTCTCAACAAACATTCGACACTGCCTAATCACGAAACCCCTTCATGTCCATCTTGGCAAATACCAATGAACAAAAATCAGGCCGCCTCGCCACCTAGGCGGCTTGGCCGAGAAACCGACTAGGCGTAGCTTAGACAGTGGGGTTTGGGCGGGCATGCCTAAGGCGGGCACCTAGACGGGCACATAATTTACTGCTTTGCCTATATCAAGAGTATTCCTCTTTGTCCAAATAGGGGAAGCCCATTCTAGTTCACCATACTATCTAAGAGATAACCCATCTTTTCCATAGATTTACACTAGTTGCAATCCTTGATGTACAAGCACATGTGTGGCAAGAATGCTTTAAGTACACTGATTTGCACGCCAACAATACGGACAATACTTAACTACCATCATCAATAGTGCTAGATTCTTATGTCTATCATCAACAAGGAATATGCACTTTCCCCCAATTTGACGAGACCTAATTCAAGAAAACAAGAGAGAAATATGTTGCAAATTACTGCATCTCTGATAAAAACTTTATTCATCACGTTCATGTTTTGTCCACATGGAAAGTTATAAAATTTGCAGCACATATCCATAGTATATTTTTCCTTGAACATACCTAAGATAACTCACTTACAAACTTTAAAATGGGTTCAGATGAATGCATCGCAGCCACAAGCTCTTTCCATTAGGACTTGGTGAGTTGTTGTTCGGAACCTCCACTCAAAAAAAGGCAATAGCCCAACGTAATCACCCCCATCTTCACCATCAGAAACACTACCACTACCATTGTCTTCCCAGACGATAGCATATGCTTCATTGAAGATAGGGCACTCTTCTTTCTTTTCACCAAAGGTAGGTTCACCAACTTCATCATCATAAATTGATTATTCTACCAAACTAGAATGCTCATCAGGGATACATATCAAAAATTGGTTGTAAGTCCCCATGATCACAATAGGCCCCTTCTGGGTCCTCTTCATCGACTGAAGCATCATAGATGGGACCACCTTCAAAAGAATGCTTGTTGTCCTCATCATAAAACTATGGGATCTTAACCTTGAAATCAATTTCCCATCTCATACCTTCACCAAAGATATGATAAGCTAACTCTCTCCCTGGAGCTTGATCACGGAAGGAATTTATGGATTCCTCATCTACCTGATTTCCCATCTCCTACCTTCCCTATACATATGATCAACTACCCCTCTCCCCCTATAGCTTGATCATGGAAGGAATTTATGGATTCATCATTTGCCTCGATCTCATACTCCTGAGATGGGGCTTCCATCTGCGCCTAACACAGAAGCTAGGATTTTGACCAATCCCCTAAGATTTGCAATCAATTCTTGCGAACTAGCATCAAAGGCTTCTATGGTTGCCGCTTTTCCGCCTTTTCCTCTATGTGGAGGTATGGTTGTTGATCTTGGGAACAAAAATCGATGCTACAGTACTGTGCTACAGTAACATACGACAGTGCCATCCTTACTGATCGTCAGGCTCTAACACCAACCTGATGCAGACCTAGTAGCTTGAGCAAGGGTTTTAGAAATGACGAAGATAGAGAAGATCCAAAAAAAGAAAAAGATTAAAAAATCAAAGGTAAAAGGAGTACTTGCTGCTCTAGAATTTTTGAATAAAAAACCATAACATGATCCATCATTATGCTTGAGTACAACCATTATATAAGAAAACCCTAAACAAGACTTAATCTTGGTCATCTATATAATCTAATCATGACCCTTTATTATAAAAGACTTTTTAAGTCAATAAAAAGACAATAGACTCTCGAAATTACTATGTATGCCCCTAAGTAAATAAAAAGACTCCAGAAATAAATTAAAGCTTGAAACCCCATTCGATCCTTTGAGCATTCGCTCCTGTTGTGTGGTCTTTATGGCTACAATGATGGTTGCTATCGTGCTCTCGATGACGTTGTGCGAGTCCATTTCTTGTTGTTTAAAAGAAATTCTTTGGTATTGTATTTGGTTTCATTGATGTTGGTTTTCTTTTTCTTAGTGAAGCAGATTTCCCCCTTAATTTTATTCATAATTTCATGAAATCAAGTTTCACACTATGTAATAGTCCATTCTTTTCAATAATTCCTATTGAATATAAAGGATAAACTAATGACTAATTTGCTCTTTTGTTGTTCCTCCTGTAAACTTTAAGCTTCTCTCTCTTGTTTAGATACTCAAGAGCAATATTCTAGGCTGCATCATACCCTCTTGCGCATTTTGGTTGTAAATGAAGTGGGTTAAAGCTATAGGAAGCATAACTGGAGAATCATATTGCCAGCCTATAGTATCAATGTGGAGCTCACATGATCATTCTTCTCATTAACGATTTTCTTAGTCTGATTGTTATCTTTCTCCAAAATTTACCTTGTCTAAAGGATATTTATTATATGCCACACAACTATGTATCCCTGATACTTCTTTACAAGAACATCTCATGATGGATCTCCATGGAGGCCTTGGTGGTCATTTTGGTATAATAAGACCTATGCATTGATGGAAGAGCGACATTTTTGGCCAAGCATGAGTAAGGATGCATATCAATTTATTTTATTCTTTTTCTTCTTAACTTAAACCCAGGGACTTGGAAGGAAGTTTCTTATTGACTAATTTGGCATTAATGTCTTGGGGGACTAGAACAGCATTTTTTATTTAGCATCATGGGTAGGGTTTAGGAGGCCTTAAAACGGGGCATTGAACTTCCCTTTTCTGGTGTGACTTTTGAAGAGTTGTTTCCCTTTTTACAGGTTGGGATTAACTTGGGTCACCAAGAATATAATGATTCGCACGTGGGTACGTGGGTGCATGAGTTTGTGTGCCTTTCCACATATGTGTGTACATGGCCTCAAATGGTGAGTGTCTCTCTATTATGGTGTGTTATGATAGTTATCCACTCAAAAATAAGATCTTTCACAAGTGTGTCGAAGGAAGCTCGCGTGCCATATCTTTTATTGTGTTTGGTCGAATAGAAACATTTTGTTGAATAGAAACATGATAAAATCACATTTCCACAATCATATAAAATACGGATGTGGGATGCCTTTTCCTTAACCACAGAAAAAGCATAATTACAAAAAACATATGCGATGAGGCCTCAGGCTTACCTTCCATGCCTGTTGGTGTGAAGCTTATAAAGATTTAAGCCTTCTTCCATTATTCCTTTCACAGAATCAGGCAAAGGGCTCCTGTAAAGATAAAAATGGATAAAGATGACCCATGATAAATACTGCAAAATAACTAATTGATTTGGACAAAAAGTACGACAGTTTTAATACATATAGAGATTTGTTATAATTTGCAGGAAATAGATATAAATAGCGATGCAAATTTGATGAAAGTATCCAGAAAACTAGGATAGAGAGGACTCATGCCAAAAATAAGCTACAAAATTCAACTACGGAGAAAAAATTACCAGGTTGGTGACCATTGAGCCTCGATAATCAAAACCAAGAAGAACAACACAAGTGCCAATAGTTTAAGGAATTACTTCCTAAGAAGAAGCTATGTTATATCAGAATTCCTAGAAATAGTTTCACATCAATCACCAAAAAAGGGTATAAGATTTGGATCAAGTAAACAAATATCGAAGGTAGGTACGACCATGGGCCCCTAAGAATCCAAAAGAGAAAAAAAGAGCATGAAGCAGCATAAAGTACAGATTTTGGAGGAGAGAGAGATTTCATGCAATTGTTTTAAGGAGATATAATGAAACAGCTACTTCAAAAACATTCTTGGAGCACTTGCATGACCCCAAATTTTGCACACACATTCTCTTCATTCCAAAGATCAATTTCAAATTTTACACAATTAACCCAGGCCAGCCATTTGATGGGATAGCTATATCAGGGCCTTTGGGGGACTTCTTTAACCGCACATTTTGTAAAAAACCTAATCAACAACATATGAACAATTTCAAAAAATAGAGTCAATTTTTGTGTACTTAAATGCCTATAGCCTGCTGTCATTGTTGGAGAGGGACACGTTTGAACCATTTCTAAGATGCAAATTTCAATTTTTTCTATTTTTGAGATTGATTTTTGGGATGAAGGTGCGCAAAATTTGGGGTCTCATAGAAATGCAAGACTGATTACACTGGACTCAACATCACCACGTAGATTATTTAAGACATAAATGATCATGTTTTTTCAACAAATAAGCATGGGCAGAAAGCAATCCCCAAGCACGGCCCAAATAGTTTATCATTTACACAACATTTAAGCAATAGAATAGGCTAGATTGCTCAGAATAAGCTGCAACTAACAGTTATATAGATAGGGCGGACCATGGCATCATATTATTTTATTTATTGATTTTTTTTCAAAATTTATCAAAACACGCCTAAAATATCAACATTGACTCCTTTGATGGGCTTTTTGGAACCAAATCAAAATAAATGGGTGAGATGTTAAAATAGTTCATTGAATGGGTGTTTTGATAATTTCCCAGATCTTTATAAGGCTGCAATGGAAAAAATTAGCATAGTCAAATAAAAATATATGTTTTATGTTAAAATATAACATTAAAAACAATACATCAAGAGCACATTTAATACTCATAATAACAAGGGTACAACATCCATTACAAACTGAATGCATTCACATCTCTACCAAAAATGATTTGGTTCACCTTTTTCCTTTTTTTTTAATTAATTTGATTTAATAGGTTACTTAAAATGCGGTGCTAGGTAGATGAAGTGCAAGTCTTGGCCAGCCAAGATGGCAAGATAATAAATCCACTTCAGAAAATGTATTCACTATTTATAGTAAAAGGTATCCTTACCGATCAGTTTTCAGCAATGGCATCTTCACTAGAGGGCCAAAGCGTTCGGATAATTCAGCCTCAAATTCTCTACGATTCTGAAAAATGAGTTCCATGGATTCAATCTGTAATGAAACAAGGAGGACGTTGTGCCTAAGTGAAAGAAACAACTGCCTCACATATGTACCTTGCCCTCATAAAGATGATAAAACATTAACAAGACATATCCTGCATTTGGAGAAGCCTTATCCAGATTCCCCTACAAAAAGAACAGGAAAGAAATGAAAATAATGTAACCATGAATCACAAGACCATCTTACACTAAATTACTAAGTTGTACACTGTAATTACCGGGTGGTTAACTCTCTGAAGAACACGAAAAATGAAAACAGCCAAAGCATCAAGAGAAAATGGATTTGAATCAGTACCTGCACATTACAAAAGTATTTTTGTATAATCCAAATGTATACACAAGCCATACAGAAAGTCAAAAAATTATCATTAATTCCACCCATATATTTCCTTTGGGGTGTTAAATTGTTGATTGGCCTTCTCACAGCCTCCATAACCTTCCATATTCATAAAGGTCACATTTGAGTAGCATTTTGAGAAAACATCCATGGAAAAAGTATATAAGTGAGATGGAAATCTAGGCATGTAACTCTTCTAGCCACATGACTCTGGATAAAACCATTCAGGTAAGGAAAGATAGTGATTTAAATATATTTTAATAACAAACACTCCTACAAATTAAGAAACAGCATTCAGACTGTAGAGTTTTTTTTTTTTGATAAAAGTTAACATTTGTATTGCTATAGAGAGTGCGAGTACATATTGGTTTAAATCCGAGAGTCCACACTAGACAGGGCTCCCAATAAAAAATAGGCCAGTCACATCTATACAAAAATGGGCTTATAGATTTGCCCTATTACAATAGATTTACAATGAGATTACAAAAAATGGGCTTATAAGTTTGCCCCTTGACAAAGAGATCTCCTACTACGTGTACCCTCTATGGTCCAAAGCAAAAAAGGAGATGGACTGGGTTTGGTCTTCAACTTGGGTCCTAGCCCCATCCTATGCCAGGAGATCGGCTAAGTCGTTTGACGTCCTCGAGGTATGCATCCATAAGACGACCGAATCCTTGTAGATATATGCGATCTCATCAAAAATCGAAGCGAGATACCATGGAGGAGTGGATCTCCTGGTTGCCGATGATATAATATTACGCGTGTCTCCCTCCACTATAAGGTATCGCCCCCAAGAGTGATTGAATCTTTTGATGCCCAACAGATAGGCCATTGCTTCAGCATACTAAGAATCTTGAAAGCCAAGATACTCAGAGTAAGTAAACAAGATTGTGCAATGCTGGTCTCTGAAGACACCTCCTACACTTGCATGAACAGGGTTCCCCAGAGAGCAACCATCGAAGTTAAGCTTTATAACTCCTTCTGGGGGTGGTTGCCAATTGTGAGATCTTTGCGCCTTCCGTGGACGGTGGTGCAAAATGTTTTCCCATTGGCTTAGGAAAGTATTTGCTGAGAACCCCGAAAAGATCCGCTGGTTGAATGCCCAAAAAGTTACTACGGATGTAACCTTGTGGAATAGTGCTGGACCTTGGGTAGTAAGGCCATGGAAAATCCTGAAATTTGTCTCTTTCCAGATAACCCAAACGATGGCCGCCACGGCAGCCTTCCAAAGAATTCGTCCAGGCTTTGGCCAGTGAGAAGTAGGGTCCGAAGATAAAAGATCCTTGACCATCGGAGGCGTAACCCATTGGACCTCGAATAGCTGCAACATTTGACCCCATAGATCGTGGGCCATGTTACAATGAATGAAGAGGTGAGGATTTGATTCTTCCTTGCACAGACATAACACATTTGTTGGGAATAGGAATTCCTTTCTTTTGAAGCTGATCCACTGTAAGAGCCCCTTGGGACCCCTCCATCCAGTTAAAAGTCTGCACTTTAGGAGGTGTTATTCAATTGAAAGTCCGCACTGTAGAGATTCACAAATCATTTGGAGAATTACAAATTGTAAAGGGTAATACCAGAGCAGGCATACTCAATCAATTGTAAATGAGTTTACTAGGGCTCAATGAGGCGCACCGAAGATGACAGCCAGAGGGAACTCATTCAATTCAAAATGATTTGGTATGTCCAATGGCCATAAAGAAAGCTACTGACAATAAAAGTCGTTTCAGCATGGTTCTTTACCAGAATACTATCTATATTAGCCAACTTTTCTGCTGCTTTAATATAAATCCATCTGTAATTTCCAACCGAAAATAATCTCTTTGATCACTCCCACTACCTCTCCATGTAAGTTCCATGGGCTACCTGAGACACTGCAATTTTCTTTGTTTCTGAATCTAAATGTTACAAATGGAGATGATGCATAATAGCATCAATTAAACCAATCTTTCCAAAAGAGTCCTCCAAGTGTAATTGAATTGTAAGGCATGGAAAGGAATTAATTTTGAAATTATTAAGAAATGAACGAAAGCATTTAGGGAAAATCTTAGAGCTCAGGCTTTGCACATGATATGCTCAAGAATTCAATAAGTGAAGTTACTGCTTGAAGTATGGAATGGACTGCATGAGGAAAAAGATACCAAATGGAATACAATAAAAAGATTAACGTAAGCTAATGATACTCTAATCGAAAGACACATTATTTATAAACTCAAGGTTCTATGAATAAAATACAAAACCAGTCTCACTTGAAATGGAAAATAGAGATAAAATGGACCAAATGAAATGAATGAGATATACTTGGGAAGTTTCATACAACACGTTTGTTACTAATCAATTTTTGGACAGAGGACTTCCTATTTATTAAGGCCACCATGCAAAAAATCGTTGGATAAATTGTAGTAATCTCTGAACTTGTTCATTCAAAGTATCCCCGAAGAATCCAACATATTCGTCAGTAGTCTAGAGGATATCTCAAACCATTCTAGCTATGCTAGACTCATCAATATATGTCCGAATGGTCCAGACGGGACCATCCAATGCACATTTTTCCAATCAAATATTTTGGGGGGAAGATTAGAATACCAAGGTAATCAAATAACAAAAATACACAATCAAATAAGAAAAATACTTGCATAAGTGTTCAACTCCTCAGAAGGCAATTATAATTCCCAAAAATCTTAAAGAAAATGAAGGTTACCCATAAATAACATAGACATATCAGAGTTTCGATAGGCTGCAAAGTGTAAATACTATTGAAGACCTGCAGTTTAAACTACCAAGACTAATATATGCTAGGTCTAAGTTCATTGCTAGTTTTCCACTGTGACTCTGAGGATTTTCAATTTATTTTTCAGGTGACATAAATCCCAGTTGTCTTCAAGTTGATTTTAACATGGGGACCATTGTCAGAAACACCAAGGCAACCCAGGGACTACAACTTCTAGTATGCCATTCAAAATAGAGGAGAGCATAGAGCTCCTGCATTGCACATCACCTGGACATCGAAACTTGGCCCTTGATGAGCATCAGCCAGACTTCAAGGCACTCAACCATCTTAAATTAGAACGAATGGTGAAAAACTTATTACTTGGATCACGATGGGTTTAACCCCAGGCTATGGAAAATAACTTGAATCAAACCTTAGGCATCCTCTGCCGCACTGGAAATTTGTTGAAGGAATACATAGTTAAAGAATCAAAGTATGAGAAAATATGAGGCCACCATGGCTAGTTCTCTGAACATAAAAAAATGTGAAATCTTAGAAGATTTCCACTTAGGAAGTAAAAAGGGAAAGAAAAAAAAAAGAGAGAGAAAAAAGGTATTGCTAGAATATAAAATAGAAAATATGAGAAAGGCAATGCAGAATCTTGTAAGCGTTTTTTTTTTTTTTTTTTGAGAAACAGAATCTTGGAAGCTAAGGGTAGATTAAAGAAATCAAACTTATTCTACGTGTTAGAAAAATTTTCATTCTTTGAGCCTTAGCATTCAAAGAAATTAGTATAATTGGAGTTTCTGTGCAAATATCACTCACATAAATTGCAACATCTTCATGAGTATTCTATTACCCAATTCTACGAATGAACAATAAAAAAAAAGAAAAAAAAGAAAGTCAATGTGATGATACTAGAACTAATAGCTGCAATGGCAAATATCATTGTTCGTAAAATTGAAAGAAATTTAAGATCTTGCACACTGATGAATGATTTAGGATAAAAGAATATAAAGACAGTATTCAAGAAATTAGAGAGACAGATGGATAACCTTCAGAATCAGGAATAACTGGAACAGCAATAGCCTTTGTGTTCCTACACATATCTTCTATCTGCAAGAGAAATATCAGAGGTAAAATTGACATAACCCAAACATTAAATTACCATAAAGCAAGGTCGAGAATAACGTTATCACACTCATTATGATGTTAAAGGCCCTTGGCCATTTTCGAAATAACACTTTACCTCAGTGATTATAACAATGATTACGATGGTAAAGGCCCTTGGCCATTATGGGAATAACACTATACCTCAGCGATTATAATTCTAGTGCTTTAATGTTGCAAAAAGTCCTCTGAAAGAATAGCTTTTTTGTAAAAGCAAACCAACCCTCAAAGCACAATCAAACAAGAGCATTGCTCTACATAACAGCACAAAGTAACATTTCTGAATAATATTAAGGATGGCGATGCCTTGTGGAACAACTTCAAACCACAGAAGTAAGTGCACAGTTACCTGCCTCCATACTTCTTCGTTGGGGGCATTTTTGTCTGCCAAGGTTATCGCATTAGGCTTTCTCTTGCGTTCTTCAGCAACCCTCTGCCAATACCTTCCTGAAATAGTACCACCAAACAAGCTAAGAAGCTGCAACTAACAAGAGTGATAACAAAAAGAATAGGAAGAAATAAGATCTAACAAAGAATAATGTCATATATCTGTATGACAAAAGAAAAAATATTACCTGTTTAACAAGCATCAACATATTTAGAATGTAATATCTATACTCCTCAATAAGAATATGCTCATTGAAAAGAAAAAAGGACAAAAGTAACTGTATTTCTAGATCCATGATTAAAATGTACAAGAAATTGTTCAAATAATTAAGCATTTAGTGACATGAAGTTCTAATATTCTCAGTATATTAAAAAGCACTAGGCGGGTCCTAGGCGGCTTGGGCGGTCAAGGCCACCCAGCGCCTAGGCGGGCGCCCAGAACCTGAACGGCTACCAGTTGAAATTTGAAAAAAAGTAAAAACCATTCCAAATTATTACCAATATATTACCATATTCCAAGTAGGAAAAAAAAATACAAACGTTAAGAAGAGAATTTTGATAATCCATATTGTTAAAACAGTAAACAGTAAAACCATACAAGTGTAGGTAGGATATAAAAGTCAACACTCAACACAATAGAAATTTAAAAAATATACAGTATAACAAAAGTCAACACTCATGACTCAACAAAACAGTCAGCAGACTCGACACTCAACAATCAGCACCGAGAGACAAGAGTCTTCAGTCGCCGTCGTCATCATCATCATCATCATCATCATCAGACGGAATATCAATAGGGCAAGCCTCATCATATGCATAAGAGTCGAAGCCATCATCATCAGAGTCATCTCCGTCATAAATATAACGCTCGTCCTCCTCTGTTTCTTCTGAATCTGCCTCTTCCTCCTCTTCTTCTATCTTCCTCTTACTAATCTGTGCAGATGAGGCTCTAGGAGTCATGGCTGCTCTACCCTTTTCTTTGTGCTTCTCTGAACTCAAATATTGTATAATTTCCTCCTTGGTAGCCTCACGAACATTTTTACAAGGGGCACCATCCCTCTTAATACCGGCAAGGTGTTTTATAAACCAGTAAATGCCCTCATTAGTATCCTTTCCACAATAATTACATTTTAATACGATTTTTATCACTTAGATTCGGGTTAAAACCATACTTCCAACCCAGATCACCACTCCCTCTAGAACTTGGAGAAGATACTTCCATAGAACAGGGCTTATTTTCATCCTTTTCTGGTTCTTCAAAATTTAGAAGATGTCTAATCTCATCCCAAACTGCTTCAGGAACCTTTGTACAAGAAGCAACATTACCTCTAACACCAGTAAGGTGTTTTTTGAATCGGCTAATACCCCCATTCGTATCTTTTTCACAAAAATTACACCATATACAATTTTCATCATTTGGTTTGGGTTGTACCCATACTTCCAACCTGAATCACTTTTTCTAAGAGTAGCAAAAATAGATCTATGACAAGGATTTTGTTCTTGTTTTTGTTTTACATAACTTATAAATTGTTTAATCTTCTCTCTGATAGCTTCAAGAACATTTTTACAAGGGGCAACATCCCCTTTAGTACCGGCAATATGTTTCTTAAACCGGTTTATGCCTCCTTTTGTATCTTTTTCACAAAAATTGCATCTAACGCAATTTTTGTCATTTGGATTCAGGTTGTATCCATATTGCCAACCCGGATCTCCACTCTGACTAACTCTTGAAGAAGACATCTCAAAATAAAACAAGCAATGTAAAAAATGCACTTACTTTGGTTGCTCGAACTCCAAACTTTTGAAACACTTCGATGATTCGATGTAATGAACTGTAGTTTTTTGGAGGTGTCTTTCTCTCTAAAAGGGTTTCTTGGGTGTTTAGGTTACAAATGAACCTAAAACCCATCTTTCTAAACTTTTATATCTTCAAAAAAACGAAAAAAAAAAAATACTTTTTCGCCTCTGGGCAGGGCACAGGCTCTGGGCAGCTGCCCAGGGCTAGGCGCTGGGCGGCCGCCCAAGGACCACTGCCCAGTTTGGCCGCCTAGGCTTGGGCGATGCGCCCAAGCCTTCTGGACCGCCTAGGTAGCCGATTAGGCGCTAGGCGGTTCGCTTTTCTGAACAATGAATATTCTCGTGGGTACTTGCTAAGATCGATCTATTTCTACAGCTCAAGAGTGCGAGGCTATACCGAGACATATCTTGTACTATTTTATATTGCACTCATTCACTCTGGGGTGAACAATCAATTATTTCTAAGCTAGCATTACCCAAAGTTAGAAGTGAACATGCTCATCTTCAATATTTTGCCATACTTGACATAGTTACAAATATACACATGTCAAACTTCTAGTTCAAGGACACCACCATTTTCACAGTCTAGATACCCCTCTGGCTCATAATGCTGAAATGGATCCTATAGAAGACACAAGTTGTGTAAAGCACATTCATCACTTGCATGGTTGCTTCTGTGAGTGCATTTCTTTGTAATGATCATTCTGCTGATATTGTAGGAATCCATGTTGTAATCTAATGAAGGGCCTTTTGCTCAACTAATTGTAGCTCTTAATTGAATGACATGACTAAATCTTTTTTTTGTGTGTGGTTTAGTATGTAGGAACAAAAACTGTGATATCACATTGTAGCTCCATCACCCTAATCACCTAGGCGTCTCGCACAATCCCAGATGACTCGAATACAACATCTTTGCATAAATATGTCCTTGATGATAACAACTTCCCTACTTCATAAGATGTTTGCAACTCTTAGGCTTAAAAAAGTCCCACATGTTTCCCATTCAAACAAAAGCCCATGAGAAAGTTCCCTCTATCATGCGGACTATTTAGGGCGACATAGTTCCAGAATTTTTTAGGGCAAATAAGAGATCTCTACTAGCTAATGTAAACTACGCTCGAAGTCTCACCATTTTTTAGGTGACCAATCATAAAGAGCTCAAATTCTACTCTAGGGCCAACTTTGTCATAACATTGGCATACATCATCAGTCACAAGCCCCCAAAAGCACCTAGGACTGCTCTGTAGATCCCTTCAGAGCATTGAACCATCAAACTGGATATAGATAGATGCTCTTTGGGAAACCCGGGGCCTTATGGATTCAAAGGTGTCTTTAGAGAGTCTAAGGCCATGTCATCTCCCCCTCTCATGGCTAACTTGACAGAGGGGATTCCACCTGAGCTAAGGCAAATGCACATGTAGAGCTTAGAGAGGTTTGATCACAATTAGGGCGATGACTTCAAAGTGGACGGTGATTCTAAAAATATGATTGGATGGGCCTGTAGAAAAACTCAGTATCCTTAAAGAGTTGGTAACATTTCTACCATACTTTTCATTTAGGCAGATCATCGAGTCTCCTTCTGTCATATTTGAGGGGAAACTAATATGGAGGCGGATGCTCTAGTCAGAGTAAGGGCTGCTGAGGTTGGTGACTCTAGCATTGTCTGAAGAAGCCCCTTGTTTCTATGCTTTCCCCTTTGTTTTGGTATCTCTTTCTCTACTTTCTTGGAGTTCTAATTGTAATCCCTCTCTACATGTCTCTCTACCACTCTCTAGTTATTTCTTTCGTTCTCCCTAACTACTTTTTTCTATCTTTCCTGCCCCCATCCCTCTAGACCTACACTTTTCCTCTGTCTCCCATTCTCCCCTCTCCCCTTTATCCAATTATACTCAGCTCTTCTTTTCTTCTCTCTTTCTCTATTACTCTCTCACCATTCTTTCTAGTAAATCTCCACTATTCTCCTTATCCCTCACCTTGCTCCTCCCTCTCTCTTCATCACCGACCCCCATCATCATTAAAGCATTTTCCCAACTAATTGGGGTCAGCTACACGAATCCTTGTCCACCATTCTGGGTCATTCTCCCAGTAAGGCCATAAGTCCAATATCTCTATTCCCCCCTCCCATACCATTTCGAAACTTCTTTTTATCCTCTCAGTTTTTGCAGGTGTATTCCTTGCGGTTTTAATAATCTTTGTCTCTAGTTGTATGCACCCGTCAATGTCTTCAGATGTTGAGCACCCATTTTTCTTTCGGGATGTGCTTCATCAGTTTTGTATCCTTCTTTACTTTTGTGGCTGATTTGTTGTAGAGCATCTGACTTGTGGGTTGCGACCCTCACTCCTTGTGAGAAATCTGTCATAATCATGATCATCAGTCTTTTCCCAACTATTTGGGGTCGGCTACATGAACCCGGTCCGCCATTATTTTCTATTAAGGCTCATGTGGAATCTGTAATTAATTATAATAACATATATATTGTCAACATTTCAGAAAACAAAAAGAAAATCCATCATATTTCCTCCCCCATTTACTACATTCATAATTATTCCAAAAATTGTTTGCGCAAGGTTACTAGTAATTTAACTTCAGCATACATCATTATCTAAACGAATAAGAGACTCGTCATTTTCTAGCATGATACAAAACTCAAGTTACGCTCAGGCCCTTTGGATATTCTATCAATGACGAAGTACGTCGGATGTAACTAGATATGGAATTTCAGCAATAAATGATGTTGAATTTTCTGTAAGAGTATCTTCTTGCTTAAACTAGATGTACTTCCCCAGTTGTCAAGATATAGAACATATATTGAAGAAAGACAAGTAAATAGCAAGAATGAGATTATTGCTTGAGGTCTGGTACCAAAATCCCACACATTCACAAACATTTAGGAGTCCCAACAGCATATTCTCTCCAATATATGGAACGTGGTTGTATGCACCAGCTTAATATTGGTCCCCAATGCAAATTAAGAAGTAATAGTCCTAGAGAAACATGTAATTCATGCAGAGTAACTAAATGCACGATAATGATTGTGAAATTTAAAATTATACAAGCATTAATCAAATAACAAAATTAGCTCCTGAAAAAAGCCTCCTAGGTGCTGTTAACAACCAGTATACATCAACTATGTTCCTCTCAAAAGCATTTATTTATAACTCCCAGGCTTTAAAGCATAGTTGTCGGGTTTGGTATATCCCCAAGAATGGAAACTGGTTTGAGTCCACTGAACCGTGGATTGCTGGAAGGTCCATGTTGTTTG